CAAACCAGAGTTATGTGATTTATTTCGATTGTGTCAATTCAATCTAAATTTGCTGGTGTGCCCTAGGCAAACCACAACTTCCCATTAGCCGGGGAGGGCCCTTGTAGAGAGGGCGGTAGGACCACCAGCCTCCGTAGATGGGAGAGCTCTTCCCCTTGACACAGGGCAACGTCCTGAGCCTGAGAACTACCCAACTATGGTGGCCTGTGTCAAGGTTCCCCCCGGAAACAGTCATAGCGCGGTCATGCAAGACCAGGCAAAGCGACACAAAAAGACACAAACAAACTGTCCTAAATGATCATTCACGTTCCAAGGATACTAGCACAATTGGGCGGCGGGCGCCGCACTGGTATTTTTTTGAAAACCTGAACAATAACTGTGGCGTGTGCCTGAAGATATTTTGAGGATTTGGCGCGCTCCCAGGCGCACCAGAAATTTGGCACAGATTTTTTGTGCTTTTTTTCCACATCCTGAATGACTACATGGTGCAAAGTGTGTAACTGAATGATGCAGATTGTGGAAATGAAAGTCTATCCTGCCCTAAGCCTAACCTCCTGACTCCTAACACCTTAACTGAATGGTGCAGGTTGTGTAAATGAAAGTCTATCCTGCCCTAAGCCTAACCACCTAGCTCCTAACACTTAACCCAATACACCCTTTCAGTTCCTAACCAATGTTTTCTTCTTCAGTCTCATAAGAGGTTCAGTGTTATTATTATAATAGATTAGTACAATTGGGTGGTGGATGCTGCACTCATAATTCACCTTCCTTCAGTAGCAATTTTTTGCTACCATGACCTTTATTATTTTGGGGTTAAGAGATTTTTACACTCAACAATTTACACTCAATATTGGGTGTAAATTCCATTGAGTGTGAAAATCAATGTGTAGGGGGGTTAGATGCAATTTTACACTTGATTTGACTGATTTTCTGAAGTGTAAAAAATCATGTGTAAGTTATTGAGTGTCAAAATGTAAAAGAACATGACCAAGTTACACTTTTGCCCTCTGTTTTTTACATACAATATTGAGGGCAAAAAAAGTTGGGTGCAAAATTAAATTTTGACAGGCATTTCTCCACTTTTGCACTCTTAGCATTTACACTCAATAAGGAGTGGAAATCATCAGAGTGCAAAATTCCAAAGGGCTACCTCACAGTTACAATTTTACACCTCACTTTTTGAGTGCAAAAAACTCTTGACTTGGGGAAAAAATCACTAAGTGACCCAGCCCTTCCCACATCACATACTTTCTCACAAGACACCTTCTTGCTGCATAATCAAGACACATGGCAAAATTAGTTCCACCACTTAATCAGCCATTATGTATCTCATTGAGGCCACCATAAAAATCTCAACACACAAATAACAAGAGAGTGAATAAAAACTTGATGACTCCTGTGCTTACCTTTGCAATCCTAGCCATCCTTTGAAAAAATAGAAATGGAAAGATGTGTATCATGACAAGATTTTTTGCTATTCATTTTTCCTCCCCTTTGGCTTAGCCTTGTCCTTCTTCACAGCCTCTTGCACCACTTCTGGTCAAATGAGTTCATCATCTGTCACTATAGTACGTTTCTTGGCCTCGGCGATGTTCTTGGCTGTGCAGTCAGGAGACAGAGACTTGACTGGGCTAGCTTCTGCTGGCTGCGTGTTACAAAAATGTAGGATCAGGCACTCCCATGCGGGTTTAGATGGCTTTGGCTCTTTGACACCATCAGTCATCAAGTATACGTGCCGTTGCATAAGTCACTTGGTGCAAAGGTTTGGTACAATCAAAAGTTGGGAGAGGACCTGAGAGAGAAGACAAATGAGGGTACGTTTGGTTGTGATTACAAATTGTAAACTCCGTTTGACCCCAGGTACATTGCCCTGGGGCAAATGAGTTTATTGTTCAAATCAAGTTTTTTTTAAACAAACTCCGTTATGGGTACATTTGAGAAAATCATGTTTGGTTGGAAATCCCAACCAGACACATCTTGTAAACTTCCCTTGAAGGTTCTTCACCGCCTCTCACCTCACCTCACTTCACATTCTACCACCTCCCATCCATCTGTATCTTTGTCCCCATCCAACAAACTTTTCATCAAAGTCCATGTTGAACAATCGATTGAAATGGAACGGGCGAAATTGAATAATTGACTGGAATTGACCCATTGATCAAAACTCAACAACCAATCCATAATCAACACCCACCTCCACGTTCGTATCTCATCTTTTGAGGGTGATATGTTTTTGTATCCTTTGAGAGCTTTTGAGGTTCAACAATTGATCAAGAGTGAATGATTGATTGTTGACTGGACATCAAACAATTGATAACTTGTCTCGGCAATCAAACTTGGTTTTCAAGCTTCTTTCTACAGGAATCAGAATTAAATTCAGTTCTAGATTCATATTGGAGAAACACAAGATAGATTTGAGGTGATGATTGGTGAGACAGAAGCAGAAGGAAAGGCAGCTAGGAGATAGAAATACAAGTGAAGATTGGTTGGTGATTAGTGTTGAGTATGATGGTTTAGTGTTGAAGGTGTTGATCTTGATTGAGTCAAATAAATAGCATTTGAAATGGGGGTTGAAGCTGGTTGAAGTCCTTCAAGACAAAATTTTGTTGAGTCCAAAAAGGAGTTTATCACATGTTTAAACTCCATTTTGGCGTTCATACAAAGGGCCCTTTAAAACTCCTTTTGGTACGGGGAAGGAGTTTATTTCTGGGTACCATAAATGGTCCCAGACGTATTTTTTTAACAGCGATTATTTTGCAAAATAATTGATATTATTCAAAATAATCAACAAAAATAATTGCAACCAAACATACCCTAAAGTGTTGAGATAGATGATACAAACTAGAAGCAAAGAATCTGACTTACTATCATCAGTTTGGCCAAATGCACGTTGGGCTTTATCACTCTGTGATAATTGTGATCGAGTAACATCTTCAAAATCCGCAATATCATTACCATTGTTGTTGTGAACAGACCAACCCGGTCAACATACCAGGGAGGAGAGATGCGACCGGGTTGTCCAAATTGAGGCGGATCGGGGGAATCCAAGGAATCCTCCCTCTACTGGCTCTTGAAGTTCAAGTTCTTTCTCCAATTGGCCCTGTATTTGTGTGTATAATTGCCTTTTGATTTTCAAAAATACAACAAAACCCTTGAAAACACTGGAAAATCTTGAACTTTGAGAAGAAACTGAGAGAGAATCCCTTGGTATCCTCAGTTTTTTATTTGGTGAATGGATGCTTCTCAAGGAGGCAAGCAACCGATTTCTTTACCTCAAGAAAATCCTTAGACACATAAAAATGTTTTATAAGACGGACAAATTTTTGCTGCAAAAAGGAATCCCCCTCACAAGCAAAAGCGTATGAGTTTGTCATAAGTCCCTTGCTGCGCTCAAAGGGTGTGAGACACAGCATGGGACTTTGTTGAGTTTAAGTTTGTTCGTGTGTGTAAATTTGAACTTTGGGGGTGGTCCTTTGTAAAATTACACTGCAGGTATTGCAAAGTTGGCTTGGTGAGAAAGTATGTGATGTGGGAAGGGCTGGGTCACTTAGCAATTTTTTCCCCAAGTCAAGGGTTTTTTCACTCAAAAAGTAAGGTGTAAAATTGTAATTGTGAGGTAGCCCTTTGGAATTTTGCACTCTGATGATTTACACTCCTTATTGAGTGTAAATGGCAAGAGTGCAAAAGTGGCGAAATGCCTGTCAAAATTTACTTTTGCACCCAACTTTTTTTGCCCTCAATATTGTATGTAAAAAATAGAGGCAAAAGTGTAACTTGGTCATATTCTTTTACATTTTTACACTCAAAAATTTACACATGATTTTTTACACTTCAGAAAATCAGTCAGATTGAGTGTGAAATTGCATCTGACCCCCCTACACATTGATTTTTACACTCAATGGAATTTACACCCAATATTGAGTGTAAATCGTTGAGTGTAAAAATCTATTGACCCATTATTTTGTGTTTGATGGGTTGTTTACGGGGCCCGAGATTTTTACGAACATCGATTTACGGACGATAATCATCGGAAATTGTGTTGTTTGTAAAAGTACATTTATCCCGGGGTGGTCTTTAATTTTACAGACAATATTTCCAAAAAAATGTTCGTTAAGAAATCTAAAATATAAAATCACAAATTCAAGCAACCATCTCCCAGACCCACTCCCAACACCAGACAATGCTTCGTTTCTCGCGCCGCGCCGCCCTGCACAGCCACTCCCAAGACCAGACAATGCCCCGTTTCCCGCGCCGCGCCGCCCTGCTTCGCAACAGACCCGCCCCAAACCAGCTTCGCCTCAGCCTTACTCCTCCTCAAGTCGACTCAAAACACTAAATCCTCACACATCTCTTACACTGCCGAGGCATGCGCTCGACTTTCTCTCACATTCCTAGCAGTTTGCCTGAGTGCCTCGCTTCCACACTTCATCATCTTACCTACACTTCTCCCACCGACTGGTCCCCAGTCCCATTCAAAATTCGCCTTGGACACAATCAATCTGAGACGTGCGCACCCTGCCATTCTCGACCTGCAACCACCATCAGTTGAATTCGTCTTAGCCTTTCTTGGTTACCTCGCGTCGCTTCCACATTGCCAACTCGGTTTCTGCCGAGTCTCTCACCTCGCCACCTCTGAAAACGCCAACCTACCGACCGGTCTCAAACAAAATCACTATCCTTAAGGCGACAACGTCCCTTCCAGCTCGCCAGGCACAGCTTCAACCCTGCTTCATCACTAACTTCTAGCCACCTCTAGTCGCAACGTTATATTCCGCTCCGATCGCTATAAAAGTCGACTTCAATCCCTCGGAATTCTCACCGCTTCACCCTTTTCTTTCTCAACGCATCAATCTCACCAATTGAACATATCCTCAAAAGAGCCGCTTCCGAGCTTTTCCCTTGCACAAAAGCCATCCCAAATTCACTTCGCCCTCTCTCCCATCGTTCCCACGACGACTCTTGTTCCTATCCACTTCCAATCTAGATCAAGCGCTTACATAATGTCAAAAGCCATGAGCAAGAACATGTCGAATGCGCCTACCAAGAAGTCCCACTCCTTCATGGTTTCAAGCGTATTCAAAGTTACCGAGACCGTGAGTAGCCACCCCCTGTCTGCTATAGGTATTTCAATAACTCACTTCGCTTTTACACCAGCTCGCACCAGCTGACAATAGGATCTATACTTACCAAGGTACAACCGTCGCCATCACCTGCAGTGGATGGGACGGTGATAACGAGCGCGAGTACGACGGCGACCTTATTGCGTACTGCGGTTCTATGGAAGTGCCGATGGACAACCACTGCTACGCTATCAAGGCCAAGATGTTACCAAGTCCCGACTCCGCGGACTACAAGCTATACTTCGAAGCGGACCACAAAATTCTGGTCGGCACGTCGGACACGTTTGCAGGCGAACTCCATAACAATACTTCTGCTTCAGGCTTCGGCATCGTCTCTTCACGTCGTGAACTGCCAGAGCCAGACATGGACGACACTACGCTTGCCTTCGTGATGAGCCACGTCGACTACAATCCTTAAGTAAGTTCGCTCTCACGTCTCCTACTTCGACATGTCATTCCTTTCCGCTTACTGACTCAATGCTTCGCATGAAGCTCCGTGACTCGATCGAGTTTGAAGTCGAGTACCGGATCCGTCCAACAGTCAAAATGAAAGCATCTCAAGTATTGATCCAGGACGGCAAGGAGACTCTGGTTCAGGGATTCTTCGTAGATTGGGACAACGACAACAGTCGGTGGATTGTCGAGGCAAGTCCTGTTCGCCGTGCCTACACTTGACTTGTACCTAACACCATCAACAAACCAGGTCACCGCACTCAACGTGGCCAGTGGTCACGAAACGCTATCCAAGAAGCGTCCCGCCTCCGGTACTAAAGTTACTCCCACTGGGAGAGTTCGCCCAGCTAAGTACGTAATCATGATGTCACTCAAACAAATCTCAGTGGCTAATGATTCAAACAGGCATGTCAACACTTCCAGCCCTACCACGACTTCCACCCCTGCGAGCGCTTCTGGCACCGCCGGAAAAGGCAAGAAGCGGCCACCACCTCCCGCCGAAGAGGGCTACTTCAACGACGACGGGAACATTGTTATGACTCCCCCTGAAGCTCCTGAACCCGGTCCAAGCACATCCAAGCGTGCACCTTCAGGACGACAAGCTAAGAAGCCAAAGGGGGCTTAGATTGAAGCCAGGTGATCCCTATAGTCAACATACTTTGTCTGTGTCCACTCGAAGTCCTACTACCAGATGTAATCTCTCTTGACCAGGTTATAATCATGTACTCATTCCTATCCGACCATTTGCTAGCAATTGTAATACTATTCCTTGATTCCAATTGATCCATACCCAGAGTAGTCTCATTGATGACTATCCCAGACCGAACTAGGCGCGCATCTTGACTGCCCGGACAAGAAACAAATCGCTCAACTCTGCGGAGTTTGATTCCGTTTCAATCATGACCTACTCCAAACTGGACCAGGATGGTCCTACCGGTCACTGATTTATCCTCTTGAAATAGAGGTGACCCACGTCTCTCAATCCTGACGTTCGAGTGCACTCACCACGTTCCGCTACCCACGTACATTCCTCTCGATCTTCTCCTTCCTAGCTGATCAATCCTTGTAGTTCGGTAGACTGCTTCGTATAATTCGCTTCCAACAATCAACACCACCTTCCCTATTCCCGCGTGATGAGTAGCGACAGCGACTCTAGCCACTCCCAGTCCAACGATGACAAAGAAATCACGGGGTGTGGCCTGGCTTCCTCGACTCTCGAAGAAACTACGGAAGCGAGCATCCTATCTCGATTCAAGGCCGAAATACCCTACGACGTTGGGAACTGCGACGACCACTGTGCGACTTGCGGGGCACTCCACTGGAGGCTCGAACGTACTCAACAAACCATGAACGCGGCGTCTGCGAGCTACTCAATTTGTTGTCAGCAGGGGGCCGTAGGATTGCCAAGCAACCATCTGCAAAGTGGCCTAACACCGGCCTTCCTTCGACGATTGTTGACCAATCAAGACGGGAGTAAGTCATTATCTGACAAAACAACTTCCCGAAAGCGCTGCTTCTGACCTACTCATGTTAGTTTCGAAAAACTTTAGACGCAATATCCGGACATTTAACAACACGGTCTCCTTCACCTCAACTGCCGCCAAACAAGACAAAACGGTTGTGGAAAATGGAGGTGCCTGGAGCTACCGTATTAAAGGCTCCTTGACTCATTTGATTGGCTCGCTCCTCCCGCTACCAGGAGCGAGTAAGACTTTTGCGCAAATGTTCATCTTCGGGGACCAAGCCGAAGAGGAATTAGCGCTCAGAAAGCCATCCAACTCTAGCATGAATATTCAGACCTTAGGAACAATTCAAGCATTCCTTTACCACAACAACCCCTTCGCCAAACTTTATAAGGCGGCAGAGGCGATCCTTGGACCTGGGCCAGTCAAAACAATCAAGATTAAGTCGCTTCAGCGAAATGGTCGTAATTCAAACCGCTATAACTATCCTACGTGCAGCCAGGTAGCTGCAATTCTTCCGGGTGACGGTATGGTTGGTTCAAAGGACCGAGACATCATTGTCCATTGGCAATCAGGTGAACTCCGCCGAATTTCTGAGTTGAATACAAACTACTTTTCCCTACGATATCCCATTTTTTTAATGTACGGCTCGCATGGTTGGGACGAGCACTACAGGCATTTCTCCGAGAAACGTAAGCCAAGTGAGACGTCTAGAATTTGCTCAATTACTAACTGCTTATTTGGAACAGGTCCCTCCGGCAAGGTTACAGCACTCGAATGGTACGCGTATACACTGTTTGCGCGAGACAATGTTTTTTCGGCTGTTTTGAGAGGTGGCAGGCTGTTTCAGGAATACTTAGTTGACATGTATGTATGTGTGGAAAATGCAAGACTCAAGTTCATTTCAAAGAATCAACCCAAGCTGAGAGCGGAACTTTACAACGGAGCAACAGAAGCCTTGAACAACCAAGACTTGACGATAGGCCACAACATAATCTTGCCAGCGACGTTCATTGGTGGCCCAAGACATATGCATCAACTGTATCAAGATGCGATGGCGTTAGTTAAAGCATTCGGCAGGCAGAGTCTCTTCATCACTATGACGGCCAACACAAACTGGGACGAAATAACTCGGACTCTATTTGAAGGGCAGTCAGCAGAAGACCGGCCAGATTTAGTTGCAAGGGTGTATCACATGAAGCTCAAAGAACTTCATCGCGATGTCCTGAAGCGAGGAAGGTTAGGCGTCTGCATTTCACACGTTCACACGGTCGAGTTTCAAAAACGTGGATCTCCGCATACTCACAATGTCCTGATACTCGACAAGGCCTCGACACCTAAAACGCCAGAAGCTATTGACCTTCTTGTCCGTGCTACGATTCCGGACCAGGACAAGGAGCCATTTAGGGTATACAAATATGTTCTGGGAATTTCCAGAAGGTTTTTTCCAGAACGCCAGAAGTTTTTTTTTTGGTGTGTTCTGGCGTTCTGGCATTCAGCAAATTTGAATGCACCACACTTCCAGAATGCCAGAAACCCCGTGAACACAACCCAACTCCACCAGCTCACCCCTCATCCCTACTCACCTCAGCACCAAATCACATCACCATCAGCTACTTCATCTCATCACGATTCACTACTCTCACCTTAATCCTCGAGTCGATCAGACATTTGAGATACAACATTTTTCTCTAATCGACTCGAACATCTATCGAGAAAAGATGTTCAAGTCGATTAGAGAATTGAAATCAAATTTCTGAGGAGTTCAATTAATGTTCAACTTCTTTGTGAAGTCGGTTTTCAGGCAAATCACAAAGACAGTCAACATGAAGAGCAAAGCTTTCAAGTAGGTAACTAACATGGTTTTCAAAGAGATTGGTTCGGAAACAATGATCTCATTAGTTTGAAAAGAGGTCTGAAATTGACAAATCAAACGAGATCAACAACGATCGTTTTAAAAACTCAAAACAAGATTAACAACAATCATTTCAATTCAAAAAGGTACATATTTACAGCTTAACACCAAGTCAAATGAGACTGAAGAAATCTCAAAAAGGATACAAAACAAGACTGTGCATCGATTGATTTTGTGCACTTGAAGATCTCGTTTCCTTTTGAGAGACATTTGAAAACTAAGAAACGAACACAAATTGAAACCGATGAATCCCTCTTAAGATGAGTATACATTTAAAAACCTGCTTCAAATCTTAAGGGCCGAGGTTTTGAAAGTCAAAGGCCAATGGTGTGACGATTGGATTTTTGTGAGGGCTGCTTGGTTGGCTGAAGGTGGGGGATCAACGTCGATCACTTGATCCAGACGGCTGCAGATTTTGGATTGTGTTTTCCCGAATGCCAGAAGGGTTCTGGCGTTCTGGAAAAAACCTTCTGGAAATTCCCAGAACATATTTGTATACCCTAATTGTTGTATTCGCTCGTGACTGAGTACATGGTTCATGGACCATGTGGAGAAGGCAAAAGCTGTTGGAATGGAAGAAAGTGTAAGTATGGATATCCGCAACCATTCGAAGAAACTACCGTTATGACGGAAGGAGCATACCCTAGATACAGGAGACCGGATAATGGAGCCTCCTTTCAAAAAAATGGAAACACTTACACCAACCGCGACATCGTACCCTACAATCCCTTCCTTTTACTCAAATTTCGCTGTCATATCAATGTCGAAATTGCCGTAAGCATGAAGGCAGTCAAGTATTTGTATAAATATATTGCAAAGGGCCATGATCGACAAGACTTGAGTCTTGAAACAGATGATGAGCCCACTGATTATGTGGATGCACGCTTCCTTGGAGCGGCGGAAGGTGAGTCTCCTTCTCTTCAAGTCATGTAATGTACTTCACAATCTGACGCCCTCCTCAGCGGCTTGGAGACTGCTCAAGTACGCGTTATCCGGACGCCACCCAGCAATCACACGACTGTCGCTCCACGACGAGCAAAATCAGATGGTGTACTTTCGTAATCGCGATGCGCTTCGGGCAGCGCTGGATTCTGGCCGCGCAACGAGAACGACGCTGTCCGAGTACATGAGATTATGTGCAGAAGACTTCAAAATAGATTGTACAATTTTGTCAACTCGCGCCTTATTGTACACAGAAATGACAAAGTATTTCTGGTGGAATAAGTCTGAGAAGGAATGGTCAAGGAGGGTGAAGGACTCTGTGACTGTTTCACGCCTGTACTTTGCGAAGCCGGGGCACGGAGACCGTTATTACCTCCGTCTCCTGTTAACTTCGATCCGTGGCGCAACATCATTCCAAGACTTGAAGACAGTCAATGGCGTACGATACGCGTCCTATTGAGGAGCAGCAAATGCTCGCGGTCTACTCCTAAGTGACACACACTACGACGCATGCCTAACTGAAGCGGCTTTACTCAAGACTGGAGGTCAACTCCGCGACATGTTCGCTTTAATCCTTGTGCATAGCCCTCCGGCGGACCCTCAAGGATTGTGGGACAAACACCTAGACGACCTGATTGACGACTGTCAGTATAGGTTGGCTCTTACTCGGCCGCTGGTTACTCCGACCGAGATTCCACTGGAGCACCTCGGTCTTTCGCTATTGGAGTCAACACTGGTTGATATGGGCTCCTCACTCGATTCAGTTGGCCTGCAAGCAGTCAATTGGCCGCTTCTAAGGCTCATCGGTATAGACGAGGAAGACGATTCTATGGGTGGTGTAAGCATCGAGGAAAGCAAAGCCTTCTTGCGTGACGCGGTACCTAAACTCAATTCGGAGCAACGAGCTGTCTACGATTCAGTCGCCCAAAAAATCACGACAATGTCTGGTGGTATCATGTTTGTTGATGGGCCTGGTGGCTGTGGTAAAACATTCTTGCTCAATGCCTGCTTACACTATTGTAACGCCAACGACGTCGGATTCGTCTCAGTGGCCTCTTCTGGCATCGCTGCGCTTCTGCTATTAGAAGGTGCCACGGCTCACTCAGCACTGAAGATTCCGCTCAACGCAAACAAAGAATCAACATGCACCTTCTCACCCTCGACCGCTGTAGGGCGGCAACTCATGTCAACACAATTCATCGTTTGGGATGAAATTTCAATGATGAACAAACATTCAATCAAATGTGTAGACCGATCACTGAGGGACTTGAGGAATCGGGACGAGACTTTCGGCGGCATCACAATGTTGTTTTTGGGCGACTTCAGGCAGATCTTACCGGTAGTACCGCACGGGAGCGTCATGGATGCTGTCAGAGCATGTATGAAGTACTCCTACCTCTGGGAGAAGACTGAAGAGTTCAAGTTGACCATCAATATGCGATTGGGACAAGCAGGAGGCGAAGAAGGTGTCGCTCTTGTTAATAGTCAGTTCGCGGAATGGTTACTCAAGCTAGGTTCTGGAGAGTTGCAATCCCATACGCAAGAAAGGATTCTCTTGGAGTATGTGGACTCCGCGAGTGTCAAGCCAGGTAATAGTCTCAAAGCGTCAAGCATTCAGAGTTTTTACTCGTCGGCGAACGGGATGGTCCGCCGAGGAGCATGGGAGCAGCTGGGAGTCTACTACGGTCAAAGAGCTATAATCACGCCCCTCAATCTTACGGTCGACAAACTCAATGGTTCTATCCTCGGTTCAGTTGAAGGGGTCCAGCGGAGTTACAAGTCAATAGACCATATTGATGAAGAGAACGAAGAGCACGTCACGTCTGATATCTTGAACAGTTTTGATTTCCCAGGGTTCCCACAGCATACGCTGAAGCTCAAGGTTGGTTGTGTCGTGGTGTTGCTTAGGAATCTGAATTTGGCGACGGGCCTATGCAATGGCACAAGGCTCTTGGTCACGGCAGCGTCCGACCACGCCTTGCAGTGCCTGATTGTGAATGGCGCAAATAGGGGTGTGAGTATGTCGCTACCAATGATGGCACTCCACCACCCTGGCAACGAAGCAGCTCCCATTTCATTCTATCGCTTTCAATTCCCTGTCACGCTGGCCTTCGCGTTAACAATCAACAAGTCTCAGGGGCAGACTCTCAGCGACGTGTGTCTGGTCTTGCCGACTCCTGTATTCGCACACGGTCAGTTGTATGTAGGTCTGTCCAGATGCACTTCAGCTGCAGGGACAAGGGTAGTGGTGACTGAAGCAGAGCGTGAATTTAAGACAGTCAATGTTGTATACCGAGGTTTGCTCGAAGGGTCTGAGAGTTGAGCCACCCTGTAACAATACAATCCTTGTAGTAATGTAATTAGATTCAAATGTTATTACCGCATACGACAAGATCAAGACACAGAGGCTATTATACAATCCTTGTAGTAATTTAATTAGATTGAAATATTATTGCCGCATACGAGGAGATCAAAACACAGAGGCTAAACATTTGTTGACATCTCGCTCAATAGTCGACCAGTATGCAGACAGTCAAGGATTACCACGTGTGAGTTAGAACGAGCCCTGGATTTTTACCTCTACAAGCTAGCAGACATACTGAGGAAGTCTCTAATGATGAAGAGCTTCCGCAGGTGCTGGTCGTACGCGGAGTGCCTGGCCCGTAGGAGTCAGTCTCAGGTATGATTCGGGAATGGCGAGTGACGTGACTCACACGAATTGTCCATGAGGCCGCGTCGAGTCCGTACGAGCTAATGGAGCCCAAGATTGAGAGTATTGAGCCATCGACGAATGTGTCGTCGGGCGAGGTGGTCATTATCCAATGACTCACAATGTACCGAATGGTGAAACTATAGTGCGTACGCTCCTGTAGAATTCGTCAGAATTGATGAGGAGCAGCTGGTATTTAGGACTCACGTTGAACTCATAGTCACGGTGTTCCATGACGACGTCCCAGTAGAATTCGTCGTCTGACAAGTTACAGGTCATTACTCTCCCGAAGGAAGAGACACTCATAGTATTGATGTTGGCCATGTTGGTTTCGGAAGCGGCCGAAGTCTCGACGTACTGGGTAGGGTTGACGTGCAAGATCGGTTGGCGAGGGTAAGGTAACAAGATGAGATTCCCACGCAAAGCAAACGGAACGTGTTGCTCAAGGATATATTGCCCAAACGGCTCGCAGACGATGAGCGGAGTCCCACTCGATGGAGTCGACGAGTCGACAAGGTGAGTCCAGAAGCGTCTGGCATAGAAATGTCGATCCCGTGTTTGCTCCTCAACCTGAACAAAAGTCAGCCTGGGTCGATTACGACTAACAGTCAAGTGTTCACTGACGGTATCTCCAAGAGTGAAGGTGCTGTCTAACGTGACAGTCGAACGAGAATGAGGTTGCGCCATGTATGAGATATTCGACGCGCAGTAGTGATAAGGACCTGGGCGAGGAACAGAGCGCCATAGCCCCGATTCAGATTCACGAGTAGGCGTAGTTCGAGGAGAATAAGCTCACTATGCGCAGAGCGCCGTTGGAATGGCGCGAAATTGGGGCGTCTCATCTATCAAGGTGGACAGTGTAGAGGCACTCAACGTAAGTCTGACGTTATGTGCATGTGATTGATTGAACAGCACTTTTAGGAGCGGTAAATGTGAAACACTGTATGGAATCAGGAACGTAGTCGCGAAGCGCGCCCTCACGAGCGGCGTAGGATTGGATTGAAAATGATAGAGAGTCCGAAAACATGGAAGAGAGAGGATTGAAATACTCGCCTAGTCAAGCCGAGCAAGTGAACGACTACAGGGCCAATCATGACCTGGTCTAAATGAATCAGGTCCGATATAGAGCGGTGCAAGACCTGACGATGGTACGAAGTTGGCGTGGCTTATGAAATGGAGCTGGAGCTATAAAAGGAGCACTCCAGTTGGTGATCAATTGGTCTTGATTTCGTGCACCTTTATTTCCGTTTCCTCCCCACTTGATATCATCTTCTGTCACATCATCAAAGCGCTTCACGTACATTGGAACATGCACAACCGGATCACATTCGAGGACGCTGACTTGAAGCTTGAATTGAGGTTTGGCGGCATATTTTACTTGGGACCGCAAGTGAGTCCGCGAGAATGCTTCGAAACGCTGCTGCTGACATGTTGTGGTAGTTGATTTTCGACCAAGACGGGAATGGGCGATATCGGCTTCTCGAGACAAATGTGTTCACACGACGAGCAAGAGTGGATATTTGTGGATTGGTAGTTGCAGGCGTCGCACGCCGGAGTAGCTTGCGAGGAGCGGACACGTACTCAATTCAAGGTCCAGTTTTTTTGTGTCAGGATGGGCGGACTATTTTGTTTGAAGAGAGGTGGAACACTGTACGGCTTAGAGGTGCAGACGTGACGCCGGTTGCACTTGTGAACAAGGTGACGACCGAGGGGACTGGGAAGGTATTAGAGTGGTTTGGGAGGCCTGGACTTCGAGGGACGTTGCGAGACGAAGTCTGCGTAGTTAGGCATCGAATGTGGAATTCTCTGGTAAGTGTTGCATGCGGTAGTGAGGCGGAGGCCAAAACTGACAGTGCTTCAATAGGAGTCGAGCACAGTCGAGTTCACGGTGGTCTACATTTTGGAGCCGGGTCTGACATGTACTCTGCCGATGGATCTCCTGGACGTGAACAACATCGTATACTTCCGCGGGAACGTCGTAGGCTTTGACGTGGAGAGAAATTCATGGGAAGTGAACGTGAGTACCTTAAGTCTCAAGTGGAATGTAATGATTGCAGCGAACTGACATGATTGCAGCGAACTGACATGATTCGAGTAGGTGACGAGGGTCAGGCTAGTGGCGCGCAGGCATGGGGTGAGGCGCAGTAAGAGACGCCGCGGGCTAGCAGCTAGAGGCTACAGCGCGAGGTTTGGGCGTAGACAGTTCGCATCTTGAGGTCGGCGCTGTAATTGCTTGGCTCACGTCGGCTTGATTTCATGTGATGTAATTGTTCATAGTGTGATGTATGTGATGCGTATAGTGTGGCAATACGAGGATGGCGTGGCTGGTCATGCCCGAGTTGTTCATAGTTTGTTTCTAGTTGTTCAATAAGAATTCTCGATGTGTATGGTCCATCTAAAATCGCTTACTTCCCGCACCGAGCAAAGGGTGGTGGGATTGTCAAGTCATGCCCAAGGGGCGGCGCAGCCGCCCAAGACCTCGTGAGTAATAAAAAGTTGGCCGGAAAAGTAGTCTACAGAGGACACTTTATTGACTTTTACGGCCATTCGTTTGCGGACGACTTACTCCGTAAGGAAAAACCTTCGTAAAAGTATACTTCCATTGAGAGGTCATGACTTTTGCGACCGATCGTTAACAGTCATTAATGTCTGTGACGAGAGAAGAGTCGCAAAAATCCACTTTCACTCCGCGTTTTCTCAATTTTGCGACGCTCGCAATAAAGACCGTGACCAACTATGTTGCAATGCAAAATTGATACATGGAACCATTACAATTTCACGACGTTGAGAGTCACAGTCAAAGAAAGACAAGACCAATTTCAATTAATGAAAGACTACGAAATAAAAAGATTCAAGAAGAAGAAGAAACAACTAAACGACTAATTTCAATTAATGAGAGACTTTGAAAATGAAATTAGAGAGGTAACAGAGCCACAAATTCAATTAACGAGAGACTGTGAAACAAGAATGAAAAAGATTCAAGATAAATAGTTAAATGCAGCCGCTACTTTCTCTTACGCTATGACTTGCGCAACGTAATAGGTTCTGCAGGTGTGACGTCGACAGTGACAGTGTCATCATCCTAGTTGTTCGTTAAACACTCAGGTGCATTTAAACCTTTCAGCTTCAGCTTGATTTTTTTTGCTGACAAAAAAAATAGAAAAACATCAGTGGTACATTGGACCTCTGATGATGCCCACTCACGTAGCATCACTTCTTCTTCTACCATTTCCCACTGGTCCTTGTCTGCTTCTCCCGCCTCTTTCACCAACTCTTCCGGCAATGATGGAAGGGGGAGAGTAGCCAAAGGAACATCTTCCTCTTCGCCTTCGGTGTCGTCTTCATTAACACCAAAAGCAATCATGTCTTCCAACTCGTCGGGAGACATGATACCATCAAATAAGGAGGCAGCCTTCCGCGCTAGAACATGATCACATAATTAACAAAATGATGAATAAAAAAACAAAATGAATAACAAAATGATGAATAAAAAAAATGAATGTTGAACTCACGTTCTTCATCTTCCCCATCTGATGGAAGGGCAAAGCAGTTTTCCAACTGTTGGGAATAAGCAAGATGCTTGTGTTTGATATCTGGACAAAAAAATTAAAGAGATTCAAAAGATGCAAAGCCAAAAAGAAATGATGCTGCAAATCGAAAGAGATTTTTGCTCACCTTCTTCCTCATCTGATTCCATGCCAAAACAGTCTTCCAATTGTGAAGTAATACCATGGGGTGTAACCGGTTCCTGTGTTTCATCCTGCGGTTCCTCTTCCCCTTTCACCTTATGCGCTTTGTTGATGATGGCTTCTGATTCCTTGATTATCTTCAATTCATTGTCCGTTGGTTCGCGGGAGTACATAGCCCATGTGGTATTGGCAGCTGTGCCTCCAATTGATTCTACAGTGCTAGAGACCAATGTCGCAACTCCGGCATTGACCAGGTTGTTGTTCAGCCAAACACCGGTGAGGTTACCCACAGTTCGAACTACTTTACACCAGTAGTGATTTTCTCCCCAAAATCCTCAAGCCCGCATCAGATACTTGACGCCTTGAATTATTAATTCGTAAGGTAAATTAGCTTCAGCCATCATTCTGTCTGCTTCTTCCCTTCGTGTACCCAAAAAATAAGCAACATCAAGCTGAATATGAAGATGAGGGGGAGGAGGAGAGAATTGGAGCCGAGATCTTTCCAGGTATGGAGGGTTATTTTTGACGTTTTTAGCTTTGCAGGGTCGACAGTGCCGTGCTGAAACTCGCTGGAAGCCGGTATTGGAAGTCCATTGCTCGAGCAGTTCAGGAATTGTGTTGTAAGTGAACTGGGTTGCAAAATGTTCATGCGACAGAGTGATGGTGTTGAGGTTGATTGATTCATTGATGATGTCCATGTGGTCGTTGGAGCACACCAGTTTACGTTTGCAGACAACTCGAAACAATCGCTGAGTCATACTGGGTGATGAAGGTGATTTGGGTCGAGTATCAATGTCAAATATTCCATCAAAATATTGATCAGCAGAAGAATAACAGTCTGAATTGAAACTCCCAGGACATTGTTTTTGAATGGCAGCGTGGAGGGTATTCTGAGCTATAGAAAGGATGGATCTGATACTGCCAACGTTGGTGATTTCGCAAGTGGATCTTGCAGAAAAAAAATTCATAAGTTTAGCGTATATATGAACAGATTTACCCTTTGACCGGCTGTACCAGAGTGGTGTGTGAACCGCGTAAAGACATTCGGTCATGGCATCAAGCCAGCATCGAAATTGACGTCCTGGAGTGGTTGATGCTACAAAGCCTTGGTAAGTTGTCACAGGATGGCGATCAACGTTGGTAGCACCTTTAGGTCGTCCTAGCTTTTTGGGCCGTCCAAGTAATTTGTCTGTCGTATCAGGAGGGCGGCCGTCATTCTTGAAATCGCAAGGTCTGCGCATCTTCTTTGACCATCCCACACTACGCCAGATTGCAAATTTACCGCTGAGTTTAGAAAATTAAAAAGACATAGAAGATTATACACAAGGCAGAAGGGGTCAAAAAAATATGGAAAAATAAGGGTTGCATTCCCCTGTGTGTGCCCATCATTTTGCATATTTTTGAAGATGGTTATGGCAGCAGTGTATATCAGGTCAGAAACTCAGTTTATGCCCAAAACTGGCAGTCATGGAGGCATCAACCTTGTGAGACCAATAAAATTGTCAATTTTGTGTCAAGATCTGGAATGTCTGCCCATTCTGAAAGCTGCATGTTTGTTTTACCAGATACACATTAGAATGAGTGGTGTGTGTCCAAAAATGAAGAAGGTACAGCAATCACCGTCCCCAACAGCAAAGCTAGAAAAGCTTATAAATCTGTTCCGCAAGGGTTTTAGCATCCAAATGGAAACTGTAAATCCAGTATGTGGCTTTCATAATGTGCAAATGCCAGTTTGATTGAAAGAAAATTGTTGTATTTGTGATTGTTGAAACGTTTCTGCCCAAGCCCAGGTAGTTTTGGACAAAATTTGAGTTTCTGACCAAATACACCCCAAAATCATTTTTCTCTGTAACATCTTCAAAACTCAAGGTAAAAATATGAAAAAATATGCAAAATGATGGGAAATCACAGACTGATTCAACCATTGCTTCTTTGAATTTTTCCTACCTCTCATGCATTGCTGAGAATTTTCTACATCTTGACTTTTCTAAACTCCATGGTATATTATTGATTTGGCGTAGTGCCAGAAGCTGGGCTACCTTCTTGTAGTTCTTAGCTTCACCACCGTACTCAATTTGAACACCTCAACAGAGATCGTGATAGTCTCTTTCAAGACTACCAACCAAAGCATACAGCTGGACTAGCCCTATTTGCACGGTACAGTTCCCTTTGCTGGAAGAATGAGAAGATGAAATTATTAACAAAATAAAATGAAATTTTGGAAAGTATTGAGTACTTACGAAATCATGTAGTAAACTCGATGCATGGACTCTTGCGCATTGGTTGTGGCGGACAGATCATCACAGAGTCCGTCATCATCTACCTGCTTAGGCCGTGATCGAAATAGCATGGATTGAATGTAGGCTGCTTGCCACCATCCAATCCACCGTTTGGCTTTAGGATACTCCTTGCGTAACTTGGAGATTTTTTTGTTGAATGATAAACCTCCGGGCTCATCCAGCTTCAACAATCCAAAAGCAGCCTTCTGAAATGTAGCCTATAGAGGCAGAATAAGAGGCAGAATATTTATTAGAAATCAAAATGCAAACCAAATATATATATATTATCATACCTCATCATCCGCAGGTATAATGACCCGATTTCGCTTGATTCGAGTGACCTGAGCTCTGAAGTGCTCGTGACATCCTTTGAGCTTGGATAGAGCCACTTGGCGATTGGCCTCTTTGAAGACGTCCATGTAGGCCATGATGAATCCGCTCTTCTGAGCCATTGAGAAATCAACCACCTGTCGTACAAGAACGTCGCATTCGGCAGAAGATATTCGAGATGAAATTTGGGCCTCTTGCATTTGTCGCATCAGTGTGGTGAAGTGAGAGGCGTAGTGATCTTCAGTCATCCCATTTAACCACGTAAGTTGAATGGGAATCCAACGATTCAAGACATCGTTGAACATAGAGGTTGTGAGCAAGTACCCGTTTGCAAAAAACTTATAAGTAACATCCAAGATTAAACCACCGCCATAGATCCTGTCGTTCTCATCGCGGGTCAGAAGCATAGATGCCATCCATTTGGTTTGGAAGGTCATATGTGTGTCCTTTGGCATGAAGGAACAGGAGATCATCCTCAAGCCTCGCCTAAAATTTAAAAGTGCAAAGTCAAACCATGTCAAAACAAAACGAAGAAACACAAGTTAGAATGAAATTGGAATAAAAAAAAAACTTCGCCCAATGAATCATGTCCAACAGAAAACTATCGCCTGCACCAGGAATTTTCTTTTCGGGAATGACTCCAGCAGCAACAAGGAGCTTGCGCCGATAGTATCCAGTCCGATGGAGGTTCCCAAAAGCTGGGTGGATGCTGCTGGCTGTGCCGATTTCCTGTTTGCCTGCTGGAGCTCGTCCCACCTATCAAGAAGAGTCAGTTATATACAAATTTATATGTGATTTATGTGATTTGACTTACTTTGAGTCGCAGAGGTCCAACCTCGGGGTTTTTGACCACCTTTTTGCCTAATTTGCCCAGCGAGAGTTTGTCAGGCTTTCCACGACGAGGCCATGGATGTTGGTGGAACCCTGAGTGACAAACAATTCCCCAACCGCTTGGTAAATGCTCGTCCAAACGACAAATCGTGTCTTTACATTGAAGGTGTTCAAGAATTCCAGGGCACCGTGCAGCTGGGCACTTCTGCTGACTGAGAGGATATCACGGTCAGCGCAGGTCAGAAAACAAATTGAAATAAATCAAACTCACTTGCTAGCCCATTCAACTCGTTTATTGGAAGACGTTGGAGGTGAGCCACGGTATCGACAATCGGAGTCATTGCAGATCAAAACTCCTAAGCAAGTAAATCGTATGGTTCGCTAGTCGGTGCCTTTGCCTGTTCCGCCGCCAGAGGTTGTATACGTGAATTGGAACATTCCCCAATTGGCAAGTTTTACGCCTGGTTGCCATACAAACATAGTGTTCTCATTGGGCAGAAGAGGATAACCCTCGTCGTCAAGGGTGGTGTTGTCGTCAATGAAGGTGACAAATGATTCGCGGTCTTGCGGCAGAGAAAAGGTTTTCTTGCCCTTTTTACCAACTTTCTTCTTCTGTGGTGCTGACTCGTTGCTGGAAGTTTCATTCGTATTGGTTTTCGATTGTTGAGATTGCAACAATGATTTTTGAGATATGGCGCTAGGAAGCGGGGCATCTTCTTCTTCCTCTTCGTAATCTTCTTCAACTTCGTACAGATTGTCAGAGTCAGAGCTCATATTGGACTGATTGAAAGGAGGATAGTTGTGATTGGGTTTGAAAGGTTTGAGTAAGTAAAATTGAAATATTAAAAGCAAATGATAAATGATTAATGATTAATGATAAATGATAATAGTGAATGATTAATGATAATGATTAAAATGATTAAAAGTTGAGCGGATAAATGATAAGTAAAAAGTTGATTGAAAGTTGATTGAAAGTAAATTCTTGTTATCCTATGATTTGATTTCCATGGTGTAGAATGATTGCAAATCGGTCGGTTACCACCATTGCAAATTTCCTGATTGACAGCCGAAATTTGTTTTTGACGTTGCATGTGGCTCGGCGATGGATGATGTCTGTGAAGGATTGGTTGGAAAGTTGCAGTTTGTCTGGATTGGAATGAGGATTATGAGGGTTATTTGGTGCGAACATCTTTGTTTGGAATGAGTTGTGTGGAAAATTCAATAAGTGGTATCCGGTGGTACACTTTTCCGCTGTATGTTTTCCGACGGTTTTGTGTATGGACATTTTTTTGAAATTATCGTATGTAAAATTGAATCCGGCCCTGACAGACATGTACTCACAGGGGCAAAAATTGATGCTCACAACTATGTGAGCGTTGAAATGTTCCTGTTTTGTTCCCATTTGGTTCCCATTTGTTTCCAATTTGTTTCCCATTTGTTTCCCATTTGTTTCCCTTTTCTTTCTGCTTGTCAGCTGATTACGTGATCATCAGGAACTGAGCAGACAAACTAAGCCTTCCTCAGCATTTATTCCTGAGCAAAGAAGTCTGAGGAAGGGCTGATCCATCTGCTCAGCTGATCCTGAGCGGCGTTCCCTGGTTCAGTAAGTGCTGAGCTGAACTGAGTATTCCCTTAGCTAAGTCTCTGAAGTATCCCCCAGACGCTTAGCTAAGTCTCTGAAGTATCCCCCAGAAGGATCACAGAGCGCCGGAATGAAGCCTGAGGCCCGTCTGCTCGTTCAACTGAGCTGCTCAGTTATTCCTCAGGGGCATCCGGGGGATTTCACTGCTCATTGGATGAGGGGCTGCTCAGTTCTGAGGGGCTGCTCAGCTAGTCCTCAGGGGCATTCCTGGCCGGATCAGAAGGATCCAAAGGATATCACTGAGTATTGGCTGAGGGGCTGCTCAGTTGATCTCAGCCCTTCAGTGCGAAAAACTTTACCCAGGGATATCACTGAGGATTAGCTGAGCAATGAGCAGATAGGATGACACTTTTATCAGGCTTCATTCCTTAGCAAGGAAGTTTGAGGAAAGTCTGGCCCATCAGTGATCCAGTCAGGGGATTCTACTGAGTATTTGCTGAGCAGCTCAAATGGGACGCCCCTGGGCAGGCTTCTTCACTGAAAAATGAAGCCTCAGGAAGGTATAGTTCATGTGCTCATCTTCATTTTGAACAAATTGCTGAGTATTCAGTGACTCATGAGCTGATCCTGAGTACTCATTGGGAATCAGTTATTGCTCATCCAAGATGGAAATGAGCCTTCTCAATAAATGTCAAGTAAAATATGAGAACCACAGGCTGATCACCTGAACACAAACAAGATTGTGAATTGAATCAATCTGAAAGAAAATGAATCCATGTTGGAGAATTCCAAAAAGTCTACAACGCTCACATGTATGTGAGTATCTATTTTGGCCCCTGTGACTTTTACATACAACACGATTTGCGACGTATAATGTACGTAAAATGAAGATCACAAAATTCTACGGTTCCGTTGTTTACCTGAGGAAAGAAGAATTGGTGGTGACCTCCATGATAGAACCTGTACTTCCCTTTTGGACAATGGGGAAAGGGAAGTACACTGGGATTCTATATATATCAATATTTACCCTCGTTGCATTGGTATTGAGCTTTATTGGATCTCCTCTGCTGATCTGATAATAATAACTAACTCGAGTCCCCTCCTTTTTAAAATCTTGGATTGGATTTTGATACTTGTCAATTCATTTATTTTTGCCTTTGTGAGTCCAAGGTATTTTGGCAGTGTAGAGCCTGCAACCCTGTGCCAGCAATGCAACACATTGCAGCACGCCTGTTTTTTGATGCGTTGCTCCACAACACCCAGCAGACGCTGCATTGCGGTAAATACCGCAACAAAAAAATTCAGGCTAGGTTGTGCAACACCTCAACCGTCGTGCAACGCAACCGGCGCAACAGCACCCAAAAAACATCAATTTGAAAGTTTTCCGGTGCAGCAACGCAGCAAACGTTGTTGCGGCACAAAAAACAACCAATTGGACCAATCCTGTTGCGCTGTGGGTCAGGCCGCAACTGATAAGTTAATTCTACGGTGCATTGCGGTCAGAAAAACCGCGCGGCAAGCGCAGCGCAGCATGCAACGTCTGCGTTGCTGGCCCAGGCTTGGTAGAGGTAGATGGGAACAAAAGCAAAATAACTGTAGACGGGAAAAATTGGTTTGATAAAACTACTTTATTTATCACTTAAAATAATTATGAAGAAGCAAAAGATAGATCTTGGCAAGAGTGAAGATTAAATCAGCTTTTGTCTATTACTCTCATGTTTCCATGGAGGGGACTCTGTTTCTCCAATTCCCTATTACATGGTACCAAACCCATTACTCAGTGAGATGCTTCAACTTCTCAAGAATCACAATTATTCAGGAATGGATAGAATTTCTATTTAGGCTGGTTTGAATTTAGAGTCCTGCACTACCCTAGATTTGCACATTCTGGAACTCAATTAGAAAAGCTCTTCTTTTGTAATTTTTCAAATATGGATTTGAATATACAAACACCCACATCATTATGTATTAGGACTGTTGGATCGGTTCAACACCATTTGAGCTTGATTGAAATTGGTTCTGAGATATATTTGAACAGATTTGATCAGGGTCTTTTACCAGCCAAAGTACAAATCAAGTGCTTATGCAGTTACATTGATCAATGCTATCAAGTTCACTTTTGGAATACTTTTCTTGTGTGACAAGAGGAGGCTGCACAGGTAAATGTTGGTTTTGATTAACCAAACAATCTATTTACTATTGTACAACAGTGATATCCTACTTTGTAAGCCTCTAGATGAAGATTGTTCAACATCACCTTTGGATTCTCAAAAATACATCTCACTGAGTGGATTAGAAATCAGGTGCTTCTGAGCCTCACGTTCTACTCATTTTTTGAGCTCTTGAGATTGTGTTTTCAGGATGAACTTCAAATGTCAACAATTTCAAGAGCTATTATGAGTTTTGAGCATGTGCTCAATGTTGATGGACCTTGCAAGAGATGTCGGATGAAAGACTACGGAATGCGAGAGGTGTCAAGGTGACAATGCAAAAATCAAAAATCAAAAATCACAATCCCCGGGTGCGAAATTCAAAAATCAAAGACAAAACTACAGAAAATACTCAAATACGGGGATAAAACCCCTGTACTGGAGTAAAAGTCATGGCAAAAACCCCTTTCAGACCAGGTTACGGCCCAAATTTCAGTAGATTCACAACTTGATACTCAACATTTGTCACCCCATTGTTGCATTGACACAAAAAGTACCAGGAAACCACAAAAGAGGACATCAAAATTCAAAATTCAAAAAATCAAAAGTCAAAAATCAAAAAACAAATGTCGATAATCCAAAAACGACAATTAACAAACCATAAACAAAGACCCCAAAGATGAAAACTTCACATTAGATGATCAAAAGTGTACAAACCACCTCCCTACCTCTCTACCTCTCAACCTCTCACCCAATCACACAACCCACACACCATCACCGATCATCTTAGACATTCCTCCAACTTTTGTCATAGTCTCCACCCATCCACTTGTTCAACCAAAGCTACACTACACTGAACTTCTTTGATCGTCTCCACTCTTCTTCATCCTTAAGTGATTGTCTTCACTCTTCTTCACCCTTCTTCATCCTTATTTGACCATCTTTACTCTTCTTCATCCTTCTTTGATTGTCTTCAATCTTCTTTGATATTCTTGGATTGGCTTCACCCTTCTTCAATATTCTTGTATTGGCTTCATTGTTCTCTAGTATTCTTCAATTATCTTCGATTGACTTCAATCTTCTTCAATCTTCTTGAATCGGTTTCAATCTTCTTCAATCTTCTTCAATCTTCTTGAATCGGTTTCAATCTTCTTCAATCGACTTCAATCTTCTTCGATTGGCTTAAATCTTCTTCGACTTTGGTTTCTCAGAGATTCATATTTCACCATCATGAACCGTCCTACTTGTCCCTTGTGTCAAAGTACCCTCCGTCAAGGTGAACACAAAATATGTGGACCCTGCCTTGAAAACATCAATGCGGACCCAAACAAAAAGGCCCCTTCTCCCCCCCAGCAGGCACCCACCCAAGCTTCTCAACCCCGCCCTGCCAATCTCAAGGTCATCAATGCCAAAGCAGCTGTTGCAGCCCGTACCTCGACTTCCACTGATACTCATGTCCACCAACTTCAAAGCAACAAGTCAAAGCGAGCTGCTGCCAAGAAACAAGCTAGCAGCAACCGCATGTTTAATGGTCACCCAGCTGCACCTAAACCTCCACCTTTCACTACTCACACTGGCCAAGTATGCTCTGTAGGATGGATGGTGATATACGAAACCGGCTCTTTCGCTCATGGTCTACTTTGGGGAACTTTCGCTGTGGATAGGTCATTGGTGACACTCTTGGACGACACTAAGGAAGGCATCTTCAACCTGTGGGACCACTCTGTTGACTCTCCTCTTTACCCTCAGGCACCCAAAGTTTACAACTCTGAGTATTTCAACCTGGCCAAAACCGGCCGTGGCCGGAAAGCACCTGTGGTCTTACATAACAATGAAGTTTTTGCCAGATATCTTGACGACACCAAAGGAGAACCTAGCCTCGAGCTAATTTTTTTGGCTGACAAATATGTAAAAAATAATTCTTGGCTTCGACCTTCCACCAGTAAGTCGGTACAACCTCAACAACAAGCTAAAAGAAAGGCATCTCAACATTTGACTTATGAGGAGATGAAGAAGCGAATTATGGTGATAGTGATAGTGAT